GCCACAACGACAAAGGATGGACCAGTGAAACTCAGGAAATCAGATTAATCTTCAAACGGCTATTTACAAACTGTAGTTACAATGTGAAGCTAATGATTGGCAGATTGTGTGTATTATTAGGCCATTATTTGTGACAATGTTGATAATTGTGTTTTCATTTTTCTTTTGCTAATGCAGGAGGGTGTAAAGACGGTGGTGATGATCCAGGACACTCAATATTAATCAACATTTTAGGACTTTATAGACATTTACAGACATTGGTCATCTGCCCCTTTATGGATCAATATCTCTATGTGGTTTTTTATCGTTGCATTTCCTGTTTTTGAACTGATTCTCTGATCTGTGTTGGCGAATTTAACGGTTTTGTAAAGTCCTCCAAGAGCGCTATAGCTGAGATTTAGGGCTATACAAGAATACATTGAATGGAATTGAATTAAAACCCCCCAAAAAGACTGTCAGCCATAATCATCAACATTATTACAAACAACGGTAATGCGTTTATTCCGTTTATTCAGTATTATGACTTCAGAGTTTAAGTTGAATTACAGAGATTGTCAGTATTCTAATTTTCCGAGTTTTACCTGTCGGCTTACATTATTGTCACATGGTTAAAAACTATGGCTTTTTTTGTTTTACATTTAAACTAGATCAAATTCTATACCCAAGTGTCAGCCTTCCTGTGTGTTTACAAATGTTTGGTGGGAACAAGAAACCCCAAAGAGAAGCCAACATGACTTTATTGATCGTGAAAGGGAAATTGCATAGTCCCACAAAAGGGAGTCGCAATTTGCTCCCATCTTTCACAAGTAAGTGTTAAGCAAAGATTGCCCAGAATTGGCCTTTTTTAGAAACTGTCTTAAAATGAGAGGGTTGTTGCACTAGTAAAAAATGTAGAACCAAACTTTTTTTTGTTTTATGGATAGATCGTGTTTGACCCAACAGGAGGAGACTAGTTTATTTGAAGAAATCAGACCACAGCATGATGTCCTTGACTTATTAGACAATTAAAACAAAAACAAGTGATATACTGAGAGTTGATTGGCTGAGTGGGGGCTGATCTGAAGATGTCAGAGACCGAAAACATCTTAACAACAAGTGTTAAGATGGATTTTTTATGACAAAGTGATTTTGTTGAGGTTCCAAAGTTACTCCAGCTTGAACCCAAACCATAACTTAACATTCAATTAGATCTGTAATTAACAACTATTTTTTGAAATAATTGATTAGCTCAAAGTGATGCCTTGAAAAAAAGCTATACACAGAGATGGCTTGTTACACATTGGGTTGTTGGATTATAGATGTTTTGTAAGATAGAAGAAAATATACGCCTAGAATGTCTCCAACTGTTGTCTTGAGCATCTGAGGTCATTTAAAAAACACAATTAGATCACATTTCTGACCTATTATTAATTAAGAAATCTTTTTGTGTTTGGAAAAAAAAACCCAGTCTGTTTTCCCAGTAAGGACAAAACAGACAAAATGATACACAAGTATAAGTGATCCGGCCTTTTGTAGTTTTAATGTCACGCAGACTCCCATTGTGTATCCGTTGCTTGGACAAACTGAAAATGGTATGGCCACATATTTTTCTGATTCGCAAAGATCCCGTCTATTGTCCTTTCATTTTCACTCCCTTCACTTCCATAGACTCTTTAGGTCCATTCTTAGTTGCAATTAATCATACAAAACTTGCTTCAACCACACAACAAACCCATAATAATGCAATCTTTTCTATATATCCCAATAACTTATAACTATGGGAAATCCGCATGTATCCCTCGGCATCAGACCTTTTTTACCCATGGCTTTGTTAACGTCACAATGCTTAACTTCGACAATAGCCCGCTCTCTTGAGTTATCACCTCAAAAGCACCCTCTATTGTCCCTGATTGTTATAGTAGCATATGTGTGTGAGATGGTCAAATGAGGCTCTCGGGGGTCGGGATGCTCCAGCTCACTCCCACATGACCACTCAGCTCCTATGAATGACAAAGCAGTGACTGGAATCTGCATGTTTTAGGGCAGGTCTGTGAATGTATAGCCCTGCACATCATTTAGAAACAGATATGGTTGATTTCCCCATGACCTTTATGGCTCCGAAACCTCTGGACTTTAACCCTTTGCTGTCGTTCACAATAATAAGGGCAGTCATGTTGCAATCAATTGGAGGCAATGCGACTATGGTAAACATAAATAATTCATCTTTATTAGTCTCTGGGGATCTTAACGACGCATTTTGACACACCCCTGAATAGAATTTAACCAGCTTTATCTGCCAACGGTCTCTTGCATGCAAAAGATCAATATTTGTTCAGCTAATTTTCTAGGATTATGGATATATGTTTATTTGAAGCATAATGAGATAAAAAAAAAATACTGTTTGGCGATTAATTTTACTATTATAAGTTGGTGAAAAAGCTCAATATTAAAGGAATCACTTGTTGATAATTGAAGTGTGTTTTGAGCTAATGAACTCAATTGCATCTCTTGAAAAGTCTGTTTTTAATAATTGATTCAAATTAGCTCATTGAAGTTATTTTACACTGCCCCCTGGTGTTGGTTTTATGTCAATGTCCTGAACTGCGGACTGAAACTTGTTTTTTGGGGGGTTTTTTGTCCAGCGGTCTGTCTCTTTAACAGAGCGATGGACTTTTGTGTGTCTCGTTTAATAAATTGTATAAAATGCTTTTTAAAATTTTGTTCTTGTAGTTTTGCTCTTGGTTTCTGTTTTTGTTCAAATAAAAACCTGAAAGTTACTGGGGTAAATAATGTTTTCAGATGTTTTGTGTCTAATAAAATACAAAATGATAAAAAAAAAAAAAAAGAAATCGTAATGCTGTCTATTTAAAGATCAAGGTCAAGTTTATTACCCCACTTTGCCTGAAGCCCCCACTGAAAGATCTCAGCTCCTGTGGACTCACCACCTGCAAGAGGATCAGTGAGGGGCTGGTGCTCTGTGTACTGGGTGGCATCTCTGGCCACCCCCCCCGACCCAGAAATGGATTAAGGGGAAGAAAATGGATGGATGGATGGAAGGTCAAGTTTATTTATATACCACATTTTATTAACAGACATGACATGTGCTTACTAGACATTACAAAACACTGCACGACACACTAATAAAATACAGCCTAAAATAAAAGTTTCACCATTGCTTGAGAATGATTGAATTGAAGAAACGATTTAAAACATTTACTTGAAGCAGTACTGGTGCATTTGAATGAAAAAGTTAAAAGGGCAACCTAACATGGTCAGATAGTAGTATGTCTGAAACCTGTTTTTTGAGTTGATCTAAACCACTGAAACATGTTGCAAAAGGAATTGATTTCAGAATCAATATTAACACCATTTGTAACTTAATCTGGCGTGGATGGAGGCAGCACATGCAGTGATGTGGTCGCTGGATGGGTCTGTCGTCAGTCTACTTCCTTTTGGGAAATGACCGAAAGGATGATATCACGGATACAAACCCTTGAGATAAAAGCTCTGTCACACAGGAGGAGCTCGGAGTAGAGCTGCTGCCTCTCCACGTTAAGAGGCATTTTTTTTTCGGATGCCACCTGGACGCCTGTTTCCACCGGGACGAGGCCCCTGGGAGTAAAAGAATGTAGATGTGTTTATATGAAAAAATAGAAAATGACGGACAACAATTGTGAATTTGGTAAAGTTTGTAGCAGTAGATCCATTTGTGCACTCCAAACTTGCATCATCTTCACTGTTGGACTAACTCGCCTGTGCTGGTCTGCCAAATGTATCAGATCAGTAACTTACTGTAATAATACTAAAGGTTGGTAGTTCAAATCTCTCTCTTGACATTAACATCATAATCAGAACACTGCCTCCTCTGGGTCAGTGCACCACATCTAGACTCTCCAAAGTAAATGAGGCCATGTCCTTCAGACAAAAGCATAAAATAGTGTGATTTACCATAAAACCATATAATTCCCAAGCAGAAAAACTGTGGTAATAAAAAACATCCTTGCAAAAAATTCAACAGATTTATTTAGTAGAACAAGTTCCACATAATATTATATACTTAACTTTGTTTAGTCCACAGCCTCAAGTGTGAGTCTTAATATATACAGTCTATGGTCTGGTCCAGGTGTCTTTTGAACATGTGATGGATCCGTGCACATGCGTGTGCCCATGGTTGATATTCCAGTGTATTTGAATCTGTTTAGTCACGATTATGCTAAAATATACTTTCTTCCGATATTTTGAAGTTCCCATGAGGGGCCAACCTTTAAGTTTATTCCAATAGATCCCTGTTCAAATTTCCGGAGTTTTGCAACCTTACACCTGGCTTGGCAAGAGCCGTTCATCACCGCCTGTGGCTATATTTGTTGTATTACAGCCCAACATTGCTATAATACAATGGTTATTTGATCGAAAGCCTGCAAACCTATTGTGATAAGAATATCTACGCCACAAGATGGCGCCCTTGTGTTGTCTTTATTTACCGGTGGTTCTTACAGTCCATGGTTCTGAGCGCCTCAGTGAGTACATGGCCTATAATGGGGTATTATATTAACCTATATTACACCTGCTAAATGAACTTCACAGGATTTATAGGAAAAAGAAAGAATGAAATGATAAATTGAGGGAAAATGAAAGGATGAATAAATAATGTCTATGATATTGCCATGATATCTGTGTATTTCAGAATGCCACGTGTAGAGGGACTGGTAAGCTATATCTGGTGCTGGCTTGGATGGAAGCCACCCGTGTATAGGTCGTGACTCGCACCCACATTAATCTATATTTAAAGGTATTTTATTGAATGGTGGTTCAGGGCGGTGCAGAAGAGGACGTCAGTGAACAGCAGAGAGCGCGTCACCGCTGACGCAGAGCGTAGTAGAGCCGCGCACCGAACACATGAATGAGCTGAAGGAGAGAAGCACCTTCAGTCTGAGCCACAGCACCATGTACTGAAGCCGATCCTCTCTGACCAGTGCCTCTTTTATCGCACCTTCGGAACACTACTTGGAATATTTTCTGTGATGGCGCGGGGAGAAGGAGCCGAGCAGTACGCCGCGGGTTTACTGTCTGTGAAGCCCATTGTGAACGCAGAGCTCAAGGAAAAGGTAACGCCAACATTATACTCCTTATGTGCGATGAAAAATACTTTGCTTTTGACTTTGGAACTCACTCCAGGTGAGCCCCGTGCGACTTGTAGGATGTTCAGGTGCAGTGTGCGTGCGTAAGCCGATCATATAAAACATCCCTGGTGTGAGCTGACGTGGAGCTGGTCATTCATATGAGACATGACTCAGAATCCTTTCAACCGGCACGCTCTTTAATACTATGAACTGATCAAAACTCGTGCTGTTTCTGTCAGACTAAATTTAGAAGATAAAATATAGAGAGCGAGTCACCTTTCATGATGTTCCCCTTCGTGCTCCAGCGCTCTGGCTCCTGTGTGGCCCCTCTGTAGTGTGCAGTCAGACCACGATTATCATTATACAGAGAGGAGAATATGCAAAAGAGATAAATGCAACAAATACAGGTCATATTTGCGTTTTTGTGTTGGAGTAGAGCATGTTTGCAGAGTAGAGCAAAATTATTATGCTGGAGATTGCTTTAATCATCATAAAAAAATGGCAGAACATTTTCAAATACTCAACTAGAACAGAACACCCAGTTGCCTCAGCCAGTGGCAGAGCAGATGAGGTGGTGTGAGAGTAAACTTGAGTAACCCACTCTCACAACACTGCACAATCATCCAGGCTTTAGTGTAATCCTGCATCAGGCGAGTGGGGAGAGGTCCAGGGATCCCACCTCGCTCTTACAGAAGGTCACTGCATCCAGTCTTTTAAAGTGTTTTCGTTTGTGTTTCATGTGTCCTTCCAGAAAAAAAGACCGAGAAATGGTCTGTCTGTGTGGAACAAACTGTGCTATGCCGTCGGTGGAGCGCCCTACCAGATGACCGGCAGTGCTCTGGGCTTCTTCCTCCAGATCTACCTCCTGGATGTGGCCCTGGTACATTCCTCTGAACTATAGTAAAGTATCAGTGAAAGATTGAGTCAAGCATATTGACCCTGACACACGCAGCTTTGTCCTCCAATTATCAAACAACTGACCCCTGCTGAAGGAACGGACAAAAGCACTTTGGGTTAATGAGATAAAGAGTACCTTCATTTGTCCCACAGTGGGGAAATGTCAATGTTGCAGCGCACATACAGGACAGTGGAAAGAGCACACAGGGAGCACAAAGAATATACAATATAAGTAACTGCACTTCTTCTTAAATACAGCTGTACTTTCTTCATTTTGAAAGGAGGGAAAGGAGCTCCGTCCTCTCCATATATTAAAATATGTGTAATAATGTTTGTGTACAGAGCATGGACAAGAATCTTTAACTTTTTGAATGCTTTCCTCAAGCATTTGGTGGAATTCTTAATGATTCACTATATACCTGACTTGGAGCTGAAATCTAATGAATTGGGATTTAAGGCACTTTTAGCATCAAACTGCATCGCACCCATTTGGTAAAGGCCTATAAATGAATTTAAAAAAGGGGTTATAAAAAACATAAAAACAAGTTATTTGTGTCTTACATCTTAGAGAATCAAAAAAAAAAAATGCATTGCTTTCTTCAAGAGGTGAATGTTAAAGGGTTAAGAAGCTGCTTTGCTTCTTAGCTAGCTGTAAAAGCTGTCACTGATATGTGCATTTCTTTCACTCAGTCACTTTACTTCTATATTTGTGTGACATCAATCAACCAATCATATTTTATGTATAGATAATTTTACAACACTCAAGGCGACCAATGTGCTTTACTATAAAATCACTTAAAAACTAAGTTGAAATGAAAGTTAAAGAGCATTTAAAAAGTGCCACCGTGCTATTGAGTGTCTACGATGTTAAAAGCCGTCACATGATTTGAACATGAATAATTATTAATGGTGGGCCTTCCTTCAGCTGGATCCCTTCCACGCCTCCATCATCTTGTTCGTGGGCCGGGCCTGGGACGCCGTTACCGACCCCACGGTGGGCTTCCTGGTCAGTCGCAGCAGATGGACTCGCATTGGCCGCATGATGCCGTGGTATGTGCCGTTTTGTCCTAAAGTACCGTCTCTACAGTGCAGGTGCCCGGCAGTTACTATGCCTTCGAGATGGAGTCATAGATATTTTGGAAAGAAGAGGATGAAATAATTAATTTAGTACATGTCATTCTCCGGTCTAATAAAGCTCATACATTAACATATTCAAAGTTAATACTTAAGCTCCATAAAAATGAATTGAGTGTCTTGGAACAGAACTATGACCTTGAAATCTGTGAATAGAATTGTGCCAAAGGAGAGTGTACAGAGGATACAATAATATGCAGCAATAGCCCTGATGTGTAAATGATAAGATAATGAAATGCAGACATAGACCATAGATGATACTTTTAGGAGGTTTATATGATGCCGTGTTATCTTGTGTGTAGTTAAATATACCGGGCTGCTGCCGGTGCAGGGCTGCGGGGGGGAGGGGAGACTCTCAGCTCCACGATTGGTCCAACCCACAACATACCATGAGTAGAAACCAGTGAGGGAACGTCATCTTGCAACTTTGTGAATGTGCGAGGGGGAGGGAAGGTTACCACGGTTCAAAAGGCAAAAACTAGACGTTATCAAAACGAAATACTGTGGTGGCATAACATTTTGTCTGGAAGCACTTTTGTATTCACCAAAAGCAGGTGAGGAAAAACAGTGAAAACATTCCTTGGTCTATGCCAGGGGTGTCAAACTCATTTTGGTCAAGGGCCAAACAGAAAGAAACAGGAACTGGTCGGGGGCCGGAAGAAATAGAATGGATTTCCGAAAATTGCTTATGTTGACATTATTTTCTGTTTGGCAAAACTGGACCAAATATTCAGTTAAAAACATTTTTATATTTGATTACATTAAAATTATTAAATACATTATAATGATGTGTTGGGTTAAATTTTTAGAATAAATTAAATGTATATAAGAACAGATGTGTATTGTGCTGCTGTTTGAAAATTATTATGCCTGAGGTTTCTTCTTTTTAGAGGTTTCTTTGCTGATAAGCAGGAGGGTCTGTTACTGTTAGATTAGACGGTCTAACCAAAAGGACTGTGGTGATAATCCAAGACACATTTATCAACGCTATATATATAAAGTTATAAAACTAATATAAGAATAATAAGTAAAATAGTGCTTAAAATAAGAAAAATGATCTTCCAATAGAATAGAAGAAATCTATGACAAGATTTCTGAAAATAATGAAATAACACTAGCCCCAAAATTTCAAGTATTTTCTTATTTATTAAACATTTTTGAGAATTGCTTTCTTAGAATATAGCATATCCTAATTACTTTATCTAAGTCTGGAAACAAGAAAAAATACTTAAAACAAGCATTAAAAACCTCACCGCTCAGACTTTTTTTCTCTAACAAGATTATGAAGTATTATAATCTTAAAACTAGTCAAATAATCTTACATATAAAAAATATCAAGCAAAGAAACTTACCATTAATTATTATATAAAGTTTTTTCAGTGCATGCTTTATCTACTAAACCACTCCAACACTTTATGAGTATGCCACATATTATTATTTTTATTATTATTATTATTATTATTATTATCATCATCATTATTATTATTATTATCGTCATCATTATTATTATTATTATCGTCATCATTATTATTATTATTATCATCATCATCCTTTATCACAATAACACTTGTTTTTTCACAGGATCCTCATATCTACTCCCTTCGCCATGCTGACCTACTTTCTGATTTGGTATGTGCCTCCATTCGCACAAGGCAAAGTGGTCTGGTACCTGGTGTTCTACTGCCTGTTCCAGTCCATGCAGACGGTTTGTGTTTTAGATCTGGCACCTTCAGCGTTCGTTAAGACCCCACGTCCTGATCCGAGTGTTCTTTTTCTCTCCAGTGTTTCCACGTGCCGTACTCTGCCCTCACCATGTTCATAAGCAAAGACCAGAAGGAGAGGGACTCGGCCACTGCTTACCGTATGTTTTATTAGGGGTTAACCGTTAGGGTTATTTGTTTTTGGGGTGTGACTTGTGAAGCTGACGGCGTTTTTTTGTTTGGAATGATGTCCAGGAATGATGATGGAAGTCTTGGGGAACGTCCTGGGCACCGCCATACAAGGACAGATAGTGGGCGGGGCTACTGCGGAATGTGAGACGGAGCCCAATGTCTCGTTTACCACCAATTCTTCACAGATCAACAGGACCAGAGTCTCTCTTGACGATACGGTAAGAAACTGCTGTATTTTTCAATAATTCTTTCAATAATTATTATTATAGTCATCATTATTATTATTAACCTGCAGCATAGATGGTGCTACTATGGCATGTTATACATTATATTAAAGTTTATTTTTATTTTTTATGAAACAATGTATTTATTCTGACAAAATTTTACAACCATTATTTAATCTGCACTCATAGAAATACTAAGAACATACAACATAGTTTTTGAAAGAAGTAAAACTATAATTTAGTCAATTTTTATTTTTTTACCCAGGATTAAACAAAATAACTCTTTTAATTTACTGATAAACGTATATGGCACATCAGTTTTCAATTTCATCTCTTCTTTTGCATCCTGTAGAAATCCAAGCTAGTCTGAAACGCGTTGGTGGGTATTTTGAATTACAACCATGAAAAAATAAAGGCTTTTTAAACTCTCTAAACTATGGACCACGATAATTTGCCTTTATCTGGAAAGTCAAAACTCTACCAGAAAAGAATCTCCAAACTCATGTCAAACAAAAGTAAATTGTCACAAAACAATTATAGTTTTAAATTTCCCCAATGTGGGACGAATCTTATCTGATTGCAAGAAAACCAGTATTTTTTGTCTCTTTCAATTCGACCCTGACCAGAAAGAGTCGGACAGTCCTGTTCTCTGCCCGGGGTCTACCACTAACTGCATGCTCCTCCCACAGAAACATGCCTACATGCTTGCGTCCGGAGTCATCTGTGTGATCTACGTTCTCTGTGCCGCGGTGCTGTTCCTGGGTGTGAAGGAACATAAAGGTATCGGCTGCATGTCTTACACAGGAAAAGACCCACACTGTGGATACGAACCAAAAAAACAACACTAGTGCATTTGATGGAGCTACATTCAAGCCCCAAAAATGTTTTATTCACACAAAAACGCACATTCAGCTTTGGACATTGTGGCATTTTTGTGGCTAAGCTAACAAAATCACTTACTGCACCTTTAAATTTGACTTACCAAACCTGGTGCTCGCCTCAATGTAACAGGTTTTTTTATCACGTGACTGTATTCCCATAATATAAAAGACACAATATTATCATAGTGTCCCTGAATACAATACATTCTTAAAGTAACATTTTGTCCGTCCACTCCTTTTATACGGCCAATGAGTTTGAATCACTACAGAGTATTGACATCACCAAAGTGTTTGTGGAATATGGAAATAGCCAGTACATGAATAAACTAGACAAGTCCTGGATTTATTTAATCTATATTTAACCAGGAAAGTCCCATTGAGATTAAGAACCTCTTTTTCAAGGGGGTCCTGGACAAAAGTTACATACAGATACATACAATTACAGATTATTAAAATTCACGAAATCACGAATTATTAAAACGGATACATTTCAATAAGGATGTCTCAAGTGCTCTCAGTCTGGATCTGAAAGCACTCAATGAAATCAGTTCAGATCATTTGGATGTACAGCCTGGAAGCGGATTCCTCTCAATGTGGGCCTCGCTGATATTTATAAACATTTTTCCCACTGATTTGGACCAGCTCTCAGTTTGAATTGGCATTTCGTTATCAACCCTTTGATAATCAGATTAAACAGAATGGCCAGATACTTATAAAGTCAATATTTTCTTTTCAGATAAGATCCGGGAAAAGTCCGCCCCACTCCCCTTCCTGCGTGGACTGTGGCTGGTGATGAGCCACGGCCCGTATGTAAAACTGGTGATCAGCTTCCTCTTCACATCTCTGGGCTTTATGGTAAGAGCTCGTCAATTTCCCTGAGTGCGAATGATGTATTGTAAAAAATATTTCACATTTGCATCCGTCTCTCTCTCTTTGTAGCTCATAGAAGGTAACTTTGCCCTCTTCATCACCTACGCCCTCGGCCACCGCAACGACTTCCAGAACATCCTCCTTGTAATCATGGTAAGACATCCCACACAGAAACAGTCAATAAGATTACATCAGAATCTGAATTTTGATTTATTCAAAATTCAGATTCATACAAGAAGTCATAAACTAGGACATTACTTTGGCTCTTAGTAGAGTAAAAAATAAAAATAAGGCATGCTTAAAAATATAAGATCGACATGAAATGACTAAGTCCACACAATAGACATTGTAATATTAAAGCTTGGGTACCTAACTTTCCAAAGTGTTTTGAACTATAGCCCTGTTTTCATTATCCTATTTTGGCCCTGCTTTACTCGACTTGACTCTTCCTGGTTGTGTTTCCGTTAAGCTTTAGTATCCGCTACCATATCCTGGTAACTCACAACAAACCAGTATCCGTCAAAATTCCTGGGTAACCATGGCTTCCAGCAGCTCTCTGTCCAATCACTATCAGTTAGATTACTTTAGTACAAGCCTGGATCGAACCGGGGCCAAGCAGGTATTAAAAAGTACCTTATTAAACTAGGCCAGTGGAAACTCCCCCAATGGGGGTGGAGTCAAGTAGGGCCAAGCAGGGCCGGTGGAAATGACTCGTGTAACAAAATGAGTTCCTTGCTCTCAAAACAGTTTGGTTAAGTATAGACAAATACATACATAATTATGAGAAAAAGTTGGACACCCCAGCTTTAGGTGCATACATACATTTGTGTCATTACATACAGGTCAGCTCAGAAGTTTACATTCATGGTTTCTTATCTAGAGAATAGAAATGCTGAGAGATTGTTTATGAACTCTCAAAACTCTCGTGCACCGTTTTACTGTATGTGACAACTTCCTCATTTGGACCAGCTCTCAGTGTGAACTTGCATTTCTTATCAACCGTTTAACCATTCCTTTTCCCAACCCAAGATGAGGATATCAACTTTTGACCTCAGTCGTTTGGTTAGTTTACTTTGTATAGCGATTTGAAAAGATTAACCACAGATGTCCAAGCACCACCACCGCCACATTTTTGTGTTGAGGTTGATGTGGTCTAGGACTGTGACCGGAGAAATAATCCCAGGGTATGCAAACTAGAACATGACCGTACCTATTAGTTATGCACATATGTATATATATATATGCAGTATATACCAGCACTAATAGGTAGTTTTCTTTCATTTCAAAATAAATATGGTTTATACTTCATGCATGTATAACTCAGGGTCTTAAAACTTCTTAAATATTCAATTCAAATCAATTAAATTCAATGTATTCTTGTATAGCCCTAAATCACAACAGTAGTCATCTTAACAAAACTGTTGAAATCACCAACACAGATCAGAGAATTAACAGTTAAAAATTAAATAAAACATAGTTATTGGTCCATGAATGTTGATAAATGTCCATGTAAAAAAACTAAAACCCAGTGGGAGAAATGTAATAGTATTACAAGATCAGATTCAGGCTCATTTTATTTGCCATTTGCAGTAAAACCCAATTGGAATACATGTGCAAAAGCCCCAAGTGTGCACCAAGTATATGAGTAAAACGAGGTCAAAAGAACAGGAAAAAAACTAGCTAGAAAAGTGCAGTCGCTGTAAAATGAAACCACAAAAAACTTTTCAATGAAAGGCCTTGCATTTTGATATCTTTGTTGTTCTTTGTGTTGCATTCTCCACTAAAGACACAACATAATGAGGCCACTCCAAAAGAATGTCTGCTGCTGTGCTCTCGGGCCATGCTACTTACTTTCACTTTCACATTGAATCAACTTAAGTCTGACTCATCTCTTCACTGGTTTCATATTTCCAGATTTGAAACACACTTATCTCTTTGCTGTTGCCTTTCTTGCAGTTGTCTGGTACGGTCACCATCCCGTTCTGGCAATGGTTCCTCTCTCGATTTGGCAAGAAGACCGCTGTTTATATCGGAAACTCTGTAAGCGAGATAGAAATCGTATGTTAAGAGTAACATGTGACAAATGTAATCAAACCAATGTTCTGTCTCTGTCCAGTGGGCGCTCCCCTTCATGATCCTCATAGTGTCCATCCAAAGCAACTTGGTGATATCCTACCTGGTGTCTATAGCAGCCGGAGTGAGTGTGGCAGCGTCGTTCCTTTTGCCCTGGTGAGCAATCGCTTTATGTTTGAAATATTAATGCCTAGCGTACATCGGACTGGCATATCCGTCGCCTATGAGTTGCTGCCCCGCACACATCGACAATCTGCCGAAAACGGGCAACTCCTAGTAGCAGGCCAGTCTCGGGAATAACAGCGCGTTCATCGACAGCCACTGGCCTCAACCACAGTGTGTTTTCTGACATAAACTGTAGAGGGCGCGCAATACACGCAATACACACATGTTGTTGGAGCGTGCACATCGGGTGAAATCTCTGGATCTGAGGACAACTAGTTTCCGAAAAGTAGAACACGGGCAACTGACTGAATCCAGAGATCGACTGTTTATCTCCAGTTGTAAGAGCGCTCACATCGACCGATTTCGGCAACTGATCATCTCCATCATCTACTCTCAGTTGCCAAAAGCCGCCTTGCAACTAGTTGTCTCCAGTTACTCGATGTACGCTAGGCTTAACAACTGAACGCATTCAAACTCAAAACTGTGTGTGTTTTTGTGTGTGTTTAGGTCCATGCTTCCTGATGTGGTGGATGATTTCAAACTTAAAAATCCAGAAGTCCATGGACACGAAGCAATATTCTATTCTTTCTATGTTTTCTTCCTGAAATTTGCCTCTGGTGTGTCTTTGGGCGTCTCCACTCTCAGTTTGAAGTAAGCTCATTCTGTACTTTAACGTTATACAAAACATACCAGGCTTTTGTTGCCGCACTAAACCCAGACAATCTACTTATATCTGGTGCATTTTTCTACAGATTTGCAGGATATGTAACCGGAGGCTGCTCCCAGCCGGGGTCGGTCAGTTTAACCCTGAAGATGCTGGTCTGCCCTGTGCCTCTTGCGTTGATTGTTTTGGGATTGCTCATATTTAAATCATACCCAATCGACGAGGAGACAAGAAAATGCAATCAGAAACAATTGAAGGAAATTACGTAAGTTTACTGATCTTTTTACATTCTCGATAGATGAACAGAAAGACACTTTATCAGTCCCCCGTACGAGACATTCAGCTGTCCAGTAGCAGCAGAAGCACATCCATACATATAAAACAAATCATAATTCTAAGAGTAGCTAAGTAAGGATTAAACAACAAGCGCATTATTACTTTATGCACGGCTCCTCGTTGTTTAATCTGCTTTTTCCATGGTCCCGTGAATTTAAGTGTAACAAATGTTTATTGACTTTACTGAAATAGCCAAATATGCCAAAGTACAAGGATTATTTAACAAGTCTGAAAACAAAACTTTGGCCTTAGGGAACTACTTTTTCTTAGCACGTAGATTATAATCAACTGCCGTCAAATGTAGGCCTAGATCAGAATTTCTACCCTTCTCTTTTAAAGTCTTTTAAAATAGCGACAGCCCATTTGGTTTTGGTGTTCTCTTTCTCATCTTCAATTCTATTTAGTTGCTCCGATGTTCACTCCTTGTGTTGTTGCTTTTGCCGTTCTTCTTGGTTCTCCTCTTCTTCCCATTCCGCAAAATGTTTATGTCCAAAAATGGTATAATTCACCTCAAAATCCATGTTATCCGGCACTTGCTACGGCTAAATAACCTAATTAAAAGTTTCTTGGATCCAGCTGTTACAGTTACTATGGCAACAACTGTGGCGGGCGGATATAGAGCATAATTATAAACTTACCAGACTACGCGTGCGTGTATACGAAAATAATGCAAGGGCAGTTAGCGTTGGAATGCTCACAGACCATGGTTTAACAATAATAATAAAATGCAATAGTGCTTTAGGTCACAGCAGCAGAGGTGGAGTAGCATCTTGGTTCTGACTTTTTCTCTGCACTGGTCCAGAGTGAAATGCCGAATGCTTAAATAAAGTTTCTTAATAATCTCACAATTGAGAAATTTACAATCTTTAGCATTTTTAAAAAAGAAAAGAAATTAGGTTTACACCACACACACTTAGTCTACTTGGTTGGGGCCGTGAATCATCCTCTAACATTTACTGGTAAAAAAAACAATCTAAAACAATTGTAAAGCAAAAAACTGTTTCAGAGCTGCTTAGGACTTGCTGCTGTTTCCACCACCTTCAAAAGTAAATGTCTAAGTTCTGCAGAAGACTCCGAGCTAACTGGGCCGTGTGTGATTTTTAGGGACTCTGAAACGGATTCGGAATCCGAGTCTTCAGCACTTGGGAGCAGTGTATAAGGACGCGCACTCACTGACATTCTGCACCTGTCTCCAAACTGCTCCAAACTCTGGACCATGGACTCTGCAGCTGCTGCACAGGACTCCCGTGGAGCCCCCTGCTGGCAAAGCTGGGTTAGTCCTTGAAGACACATGAAGATATTATTTTCCAAAGAGCTTTTGTTTGAAGAGTTGTTTACAGTTGTCTTGTTCACACTTTTGTTACATTATGGATTTGGGTTCTGAAGTCAGTGGTTGGTTTAGCCTCATATTGTACCCTCATTCTTCACGGTCCACCAGCACAAGTCCACTGAATGAGGCTTTGCCAGTTTATTTAATATAAACACTTCTAAATGTGACATCTACTTGAATTCAAATGAAGGCACATCACATCTCCTGTGTTTCGATAACCGCCTTACACAAGCACACGGTGTCTTATGAGATGATCTGTCACTTTGTCTTTTCTATTTGCTCTGTGCAACAAGAAAAAACATCTTGAACAGAACTTTTGAAGATATTTCCAAAATCTAGAAGGCTACAAACAACCTGTCACCGCCTGATTATGTATGATCAGTTTAAGGATTGTGATTCTCATGGAATTTAATATTTAAATATTTATTGACATTTGCAAAAAATGTAAGATAAAGAGGTAACTAATATATTCCTGTAAAGACTTGCACTGAACACAAGGTCCCAGTGTTCCAAATGTTGCTGCTGTAAAATAGTGTCAAAAATGTTATTTTAATTTGTGAATAAAGTTTGTTGTGTGATACATTTGTAATTTGTTATCTCGGAGGCTGATTTTGAAAGATATACTATCAACATGACAGTTTGAAGCTTAAGTGCTCCTCACACGTCACTTATTACATCCAGGTGTTGGGATTAGACGCGCGGAATGATGGGAAAGCAAACACAGGTCACTGCGTTAGAGAAGGCAACAAAGTGGAACATTTATCTCCTACTCGCTGCTGCAGTGTCCGGCCTTTCTGCATCTGCAACAACAAAACTCACTGTTTCTGGAAATGCTTTAGTAAAACTATCTTTACCAAAAGCCACAGAAGCTGCGTCAGTCGCGCGTCAGCCCCTCTCCCCCTCCGTGGTCCCCGGTCCCCTCTCCGTGGTCCCCGGTCCCCTCACCGTGCTCCCCGGGTCCCTCCAGTCTGATGAACACACACAAACCCCCGGGCCCCAGGACGTGACGGTGACCTGCGCCTGGCCTCACTTAGTCCTGCGCGTCAAACAGAGCTTCTACGGGCTGGGGGCCGGCGCCAACGACCTGAGACTGGGTACGAGCTGCACAAGCAACGGGGAGGGGGCTGATGGAGACCTGCTGTTCACCTACCCGCTCTCACACTGCGACAGCCACTACGAGGTAACGCCATGGGTTTAAAGCCACAGCCCTGTTTGACCCTACTCGGCCCTTTACTCTACTACTGACTGGGAGCGTTTCCACCAGTGCCTGCTTGGACCTGGTTCTATTCAGGCCGAACTGGTTTAAAGGTGTTCTAAAGTGTCCCGTTTCAACCAGTCCTACTCTCTACTCTATCCTGATTGCAAACTTTTCCACCAGGTAACCTGTTCCAGGTATTTTTAGTACCAGCTGGTTCCTGGTTCTATCCAGGCCGAGCTTATTCTAAAGGGCTCTACCTGGCACAGATTGGCTAGAGTTATGTTGGAAGTCATGAGCCCTGTTTCCATCAGCCGCTTTTGTATCTGGTACTGTATCCTAGAAACCTACCCACAAGAAAGCATTATCTGGGCAAATTTCCTGAAAACCACGGATTCCTGCAGCACTCTGGCCAATTGTTCAGTACAACATTTTAGTACCAGCTCTACCTGGTTAGAACCAGGGTCAAGGAGGTACTAATAAGTACCTGGTTCATAGATCTATAATAATATCAGTGTCAATGGAAACATCGGTAGAGATATCCAACGTCTGTGGACAGAGTGGGGCCAAGTAGGGCTGGTGACAGTAGTGCTCTCTGACAGGAGTCGGGTCACTCCCTCCTGTCGCACTAACATTCTGGTCGTGTCAGGTTGTCCTGCTCCTGTGCAACAAAGTGTCCTCTGTCCACAGCTGTCCTCTTCTTATCTGCTCTACAAGTTTGTTCTGCACTATGACCCCTCTCCAAAGCGATTTCCAAGTAATGCCCATCCTGTTCATGTGGACATTGAATGTCGATATCCGAGGTAAGGCCTTTTTTACTCTTAAAAATCACTATTTTATCATTGACTTATTTATCCAGAAAAGTCCCATTGACATTTCAGAATCCTTTTCAGGGGCATCCTGGCCCCAGAGAGAGGGGAGCAATTGTATATGTTCTAGTGGCTGGGGAAACCAGAGCACCTGGAGGAAACCTACAGACACAAACATTCAACTCCACTTAGAAAGGCTCCGTCTGGATGTGAATTTAACCCTGGACCTTATTGTTGAGAAGCAAGAGTGCTAACCACTCAGCCACTTTGCTACAGATTATACACTATTATTATGAAGCCCCCGCTGAAAGACCAAGGCTATTTCATAGAGCAGCCATCCTCCTGTGGACTCACCGCCTGCAGGAGGATCAGAGAGGGGCTGGTTCTATGTGCACTGGGTGGTATCTCTGGCCACCCCCCCCAACCCAGAAATGGATGGATTTACGCTGTTATACCTCAGCCTTAATCAGAATTATTTTGGAAGTAACAAAGTGGCTTTGAGGTGAAAAGTTGTACAATACAATAAAATACAATTTATTCTTGTATAGCCCTAAGTCACAACAGAAGTCATCTGTCAGAGAATCAACAGATAAAACACATGAAGAATATAAAGCACACACAGAAGAAAATGTCCATGCATGTTAAATGTATGTTAAACAATGTTAAAGTGTCCTGATCATCACCAATCCTTTCTGTTGGACACTAACTGTCCAACAAGACCCTCCTGCATCGACAAGGAAAAACTCTTAAAAAACCCAGTGAGAAAAAGTGAGAAACCTTGGAGGAGAACTAGGGAAACCCACAGGGAGGGAGACCCATTTGAGAAAGGGAACCGCTCCTCCGGCCGGACAGGCTTGTAAGAGTGAAAATAGGTGGGGCATGCACTGTTATGTACAAGTTCACCATGGATCTATTAAACATCACTTGTTCACACAAGAGACACTGAACAGTGCAGTTAAAGTGGCAGTAGTATAAAGTGACATATGCCTTTTTAGAGCAGAGAAGCCACAACACTTTATCCATGTGATGTGGAATAGTGAAAGTATAAGGGAGATGGCTGCTTTTGGCCCCTGCTCCATCATTTGAACATCCATCCAGTATATGCGCTGCGGGGAAATGAACTGGTAGCATCTAAATGTGATGAGGCGTTTGTAAATATTTTCCCAGGAACCACTACCTGCACAAACTGGCCATACAGCCCACTTGGCAAACTCCCATTCTGCACAAGAGGCTGAGGGCGACTCGAGGCGACTTCCAGATCCAGCTGATGGACGGTGAGTCCTTCCGCCACTTGAGGTTTCAGTCTTCTTAAGTCATCGCTCACATTTTGCAGTGGGATTTTTGAGCATTTTTGAAAACCCAATAAGCCAGAAAGATTCCTGTAACAGAGCATGATGCAATAATTGTGAAAATGCATTCAACATCAGAGTCAAAGACGGAACTAAAAAGTTAACCCGAAAATATCTTCCCCTTTTGATTTTAAACCAGATCTTATACTTTGCAAAGTGACAAAATCACCAGAAAACTTGTGTACTTTTTAACTATACAGTGAAGTTGTTAATATGGTTGACTTTTACTTTTCTTTTTTAGACACTTGGGAAAATCAAGTCAAATCCAAGGTTTTCCAGCTCGGGGAAATGGTCAACTTCCAGGTCTCTGCTCTGCTTTTAACCGCTGGTCAAAAACTGTACATCAAGAACTGTTTTGCAGCTCCAGTGAGCGACTCCAAACCAAATGTAAAGTTTACCCTTATTGACAATTATGGGTGAGTGTATTGTGCAGTCATTGTGTCTTCATTGCTCCTCCACATATCCACAATATTGTATGGTTTTGACACGGACAGCTGCCTCATAGACAGCAAGTTGGAGCCAGGCGCGTCAAAGTTCGTCTCTCAAACGGATGAGAGCATAAGATTCTCCATGAAGGCCTTTCAGTTTGTCACCGACCCGGATGCTGAGGTGAGATGACGCTTATAAAAGGCAGGACTAGCATAATTATAACTTTTTGTTCCTTTTTCTTTCAGATTAGTATGCACTGCCAGTTGTATGTCTCATCTGCTGGTCCGAGCCAGGCACACAAGGCCTGCACCTACACACAAACAGGGTAAGGAAAGTCCAAATGTCTGGCATGATCGTATTGAATTATGTTTTATGCCATATTTTTCTATATAACAAATTATTTCATAATCTAAAACATTAAAATCATGATAAATATTCAAGATTTTAAGCTGAGGTACCTAACATTCAGACCACATCTAACTAGTTCCTTGCTCTCAACCATTTGGTTCTTTTATGAGTTTAGCTTATTCAAACAGAAGAGGAAAGCTAGAAAGATACTTTATTGATCACCCACTCTCAGCCCCAAAGCATCAAATAGTGACTCCCAGGGCTTGTTCTTGCAACTGTTTTCTTAACAGAAATATCTTACTTGTGGTCCTATTTGTTGAAACTCTTTCACTTTGTTTGAACCTTCAAAGTAATTAAAAGCTGGGTACACCCTTGTTATGGGGGGGAGAATGACAGATTCTTTACAGGTGGGAAGCCCTCTCTGGGGACGATGTCATCTGTAAATGCTGCGACTCGCGATGTGTGACCTCAAAACGACAAAGGGCCATGATGGACGGTCAGTGATGCTTTGTTATGCAACATTACCAGCTTAATTTATCGTTTCGAAACAGATCTGACAATCTTTACTTTTCCAAGGTGTTCTGAGGAGCGAGTCCCTGTGGGTGTCCAATCATCCAGACTCCTCCAGCCGACCTGAACACACTGGTGTGGACAAGAGGCTCGAGGGGACAGGAAAGGAAACTGCAGATTTAGCTCATGTTGAGATCAAGAAAGGGGATAGGACAGATTTAGAAGAGCCGAAGTGGCATCAACATGATGCATATTATGAGGAAAAGTTTGTGGTTGAAGACATAATTATGTTGAATGTGACCACAGAGGATCCTGGATATCAACCAGTTGTGTCAAACAAAGAAGCTGATATCAGGGAGAAGGTGAACCAGGGAGACAGAGAGGATGAAGACACTACTTGGATTTTCAATTGGACATAACTTACTTACTCTGGACTGAATTTGATTTTGCTTTATTAAATGGAAATGTCTTAAGTTGTCATCCTCATTAAAATAAATGCATGTAACTCCATCTGTGTTTGCTTTAAATACATTGAAGATGAATGAAATAGATCATAAGCAAATATAAATCATTATTTTAGTCTTTAATTGTACTGAAATCTCCCACAATCTAAGGCAGGCAGAGCAACTCTCCACCCGAAAAAGCAGCAGGAAATAAAAAGATAACTCAAAACAACTCTGCAAGTCTTAATCACTGTTGTATTAAACTAAAATTTGATCAAGAACTCTACAAAGTTATAGGATTACGCTCTGATGATCAAGTGAATGTTCATTGACAAATAACTTAATAGTACTTTCAAAAACAAATATATACTTTTTTGGAATATCATCTCGTAATATAAAGTGAATGTACAGCAATGCCATATTTACAGATCAGTGAACAAAAGCCAAATGTATCGTAGCAATAACCGATCATTAGTGTTACTCAGCAGGACTTTCATACAATCGGACGCTAGATGGCGACACATCTCCATCTGATCAGTGACGCTCGCAATCCTCTTCACAAAGACGTGTATTTGCAGATGAAGCATCCTACACCATAACAGTCTGAATGATATAATAATAAACATGTTTTATACTGCTGTCCTTTCATAAGAGTAGCGCTGCAGTCCTTCAGCAGTCCCTGCAGCCCATTTGGTTTCTTGCATCATCTGGAATAAAAAAGACAGTCATTTTAAACCGGTTTCTTTGTTTTTCACCAGTTTTTAATAATTTTTTGGAAAGTTTTCATCTGCAGAAAATTTGTTTCAGTTTTACACTTTAACTTTATAAACTTAGTTCACAACTTTGACAACCAATAAAAGGTTTATATGTGTATTTTTGTCATTTAAAGCTGGGCTACAAAACTAAACTAAACAAAAATAAAAAGCTATAGTTTCAGACTCAGCTTGGTTCTAACCCCTGATTCCTATGCAAGGGCTTTTGTCAGCGGTCACATTTTAAATCAGTAATTATCTATCCATCCACCCATCCATCCATCCATCCATTTTCTACCCCGTAATCCATTTCTGGGTCGGGGGTATCAGTAATTATCAAACAAAGTAAATGAGGAACCCTTCACTCAGCCAATCAGCTCAAAGTAGCCCAGCTTTAAACAATTAAGTTGAAAAAAAAAAAAGATTTCTTAAGGTGGTTGCTTGCATTGACAAGTCTGCTTTCATACAAATCATTCCAACTACCAGAGAATAAATCACTATGTTCTCACCTTTTAAAGCATTCTATCCAGCGGTGTCGTCACACTCCACTTCTTTGGTTTTTGCTTTGGGTTTTTTCGCCACCGGTGGAGGCACTTTGAGTTCTTTCTTTGCGGTCAGATCCGCCTTTGTCGTCGGCATATCTGCGTTGTGCTTGTCCATCTTGGCCTCTGACCTGGTCTCAATCACTACCTTCTTGTTGCTTTTGGAGAAGATAAAGCTGGCGGTGCTAGTAGGAGACTTGCGGACATCAAAACCTGGCGGCGAGTGGATGCTGAGCCGTGACGATGGCCCGTTGTGCGACCGTGCTGCTGTCCTCAAGCGAATCGCCTCCTGAAGATTCATGGAAGGCGCCATCGCCGTATGAGTCTTGGTGGCGGTAGCTGTGGCTTTGGACAGAGTTGGCGATGTGGCTGTTGTTGCAGGAGGAGATGGCGGCGAGCTGATGATGAGCGATTTCCTGACAGGTTTCTGCGGCGTTTCTGTTGATGCTTGGACTGTTTCGTCTTCTGATTTTGGAGAATCGAGATTGCCATTGACACCCTGAGTAGAAGAGAGGTTTACATTCCCAGACACTTCCTCCTTAGTTTGGACCAAGACTGGCTCCTCGTGTTTTTCTTGAGCAACATCTGAAGAAGGTTCTTGATTTGGAACGTCTTCTGTTTGAGATGAAGGGGCTGGAGTAGTGGGTTCAGTGGATGGAACTTTAGCTGTTGGTGGGACTGCTTCTGGTTCTTTTGGTTCATCTGATGGTACATTTTCTGGTTCTTTTGGTTGAACAGATGGTACGGTTTCTGGTTCATTTGGTATATCTGATGGTACTTTTTCTGGTTCTTTTGGTTCCCCTGAAGGAACTTTTTCTGGTTCCTCTGAAGGTACTTTTTCTGGTTCTTTTGGTACACCTGATAGTACTTTTTCTGGTTCCTCTGGTACACTTGAGACCTGTTCTGGTTCTTTTGGTTCCTCTGATGATACTATATCTGGTTGTTTTGGTTCATCTACTGGTACTTTTTCTGGTTCTTTTGGTTCCTCTGATTGTACTTTTTCTAGTTCTTTTGGTTCATCTACTGGTACTTTTTCTGGTTCTTTTGGTTCATCGACTGGTTCTTTTTCTGATACGTTTAATGAAAGTTTTCCAGGTTCTTTTGCGTAATTTAATGGAACATCTTTAGGTTCATTGGATTGGATATTGACAGCTTCTTCTTGTTCCTCTGAGGGACTCTCTCTCTGTTCGTTTGGTTCGATCAAAGGCAAAGCATCAGGTGGAGGTTGCTCAAAGGGCGGAGGAGGTGGGATGCTCTGTGGTGGAGTGAGGAAACTTGTATGAGGGGGTAGATCGGGATCCGTTTCTTCCTCTAAAAGTGCAATCTCTATTTGCTGCAAAGGTGCTTCTGAAACGGGACCAGAATCCTTTATATGCTCTGTCTCTTCCGGAGGTAAGACTGCCTCTTTATCTGATGGATGGAGCAAGATTTCCAGGCTCCTTTCAACTCCAGAAGTAGATTTTTCCTCAACAACTGATGAAGATGGCGGTGTGACCTCTTGTAACTCTGACTTGATTTTAACGGTGGGAGCTACATCTTTAGGTCTTGGCTCTTCAGATGGTGATGGGAGCTCCTTTGAAATGACCTCTGCAGGTTGAGGAGGCAGGTCTTTTGGCTGTGAGACATCTTGTGTTGAAGAAAGTTCTTCCCTTGAGAGCTCAGGAGACGCTTCTTTTTGTGGTATGGACACTTCAGGTATTGGATCAATTTTATTTGATGCTTGCGTGACCACTACAATAGATGGTGATGTAACTTCTGTGACTGTTGGAGGAAGATTTTCATAAGAAATTTCTTTTGTTTGAGATGTGGCTGCTTGAGTTTGAACTACATTTTCAGGTGGCTTGGACACTGTCTGGGAAAGTGGAGGGATATTTGATGGTTTGGGGCCAGAAACTGTTGTGATAATTTCTGAAGCTGGATATGAAATTATTTTTGTGACTTGCGTAATGGTCTCCTTTGGTCCATTTACGTTGATTGGGGTTGGAGATACTTCTTTGATTGACTGCATGGAAGGTTGAGGAGATGGGGCATCAGCCAGTGTAGAATGTATAATAACCACCTCTTTAGATTGAGTGGTTGGGATTATAACTGGTGGAGAAGGAATTTTTGGATTCGATGGTGATGAAAATGATACTCTTGGCAGTACGTTGATGGTTTTGGAAGATGTAGCTTCCTTCAACTGCGGTGGCGAAGGAGGGACTTCAGGAGGTGGAGGAACTGCTGAATGCTTAGAAGCTGGCGATATTGGTGGTGTTGGCGGATGGGCAGTAACTGCAGGAGAGATTTTTTTGCGAGCCTGGGGTGATGGTTGAGAAATAAAATGTACCTCGACTTCTTTTTGTGTTGGTGATGGACTTGGTTTTACTGATGGAGGTGGAATATCTTTTGAAACAGGAGAAAACTGTTTGGCTTTTTCAGATATTGCAAATGTTTTTATTGGTGGTGGGGGCGCTGTATAAGATGGTGGAGGAGGGATATCTAAAGGTGGAGCATTGTTGTCTTGTAATGAAATGGACGTATTAGATGCACCTGGGGCAACTGGGTCACAGTCAATAATAATAGGAGGGGGCGGCAGAGGAAAGTCAGTTTCATCCCGACTGGCCAGAATGACTTGTGGAATAGGCGGGGGTGGAAGGGGCCATGACGATTCAGGGGAAGGAACATGTACGGATACCAGAGCTGAGCCATTTACGTTGTGTTTTGTGACAAGACGAGGAGAAATGTGAGCTGATGAAATGGCGGGATTCTTTGTGTTGTGTGTACTAACTTTATGTTCTTCAGCTATGACAGGGAGCCTCTGTCCATCTCTTTCTACTGTCCTAACTAACACTTCATTCAATACTGCACTTACTTGTACTTTTTTATGTTCTCTTGCATCTACACTTGTCAGTCTTTCACTGTTCTCTACATTCAAGGATCTTTCTGGACTTACATTGACCTTCTTAGACTCTACAAGCTCATCTGCATGTGTGGAGGGAGGCTGCCTGTATGGTCTCTTGTCTTTTGGATTCTTCTTCACAATGGCATAGGTATTATCAGGTGCAGAAGGCCCCAATAACAGCTCAATACTGCGTGGGCTGTGGGACCATACCTCAGGAGGAGGTGGAGGAGGGGCATGGATTTTTGGATGTGGGGGGATATTAAGGAGTTCTCTTAAAGCCTTCACAGAAGACTTCTCGTTGACAGCGATGACAGAAACATTTCTGGTTTTACCAGCCTCTGGTTGAGTGGTTGGGGAGACAGGTAAAAACTTATGCAGTTTAGCAAGCAGCCCCATTTTGTGTTTTGGAGAGAAGTTGTGTGGCGATGTGGCATCCTGACTGGAGTAGCCACTTGATGGTGAAATTATTTTTGTGCTGTTTGACATACATTCCTCCTTCTTCGTACTTGAAGCAGTTGTGGAAGTATTATGCTTGGTGGAATCCATTTTCAGTTTTAAGGGACTTGGGGTATTGGAGCCATAGGATTCGTCCAATGAACTGGTGTCCGCGTTGTATCCAGGACTATCTATTTTTTTCATGTTTCCCTCACTCGATTGGCCTGGCAAAATCTTAACATCCGCCAGATCACGAGAACGTCTCTTCATTTTATTGTGGAGAGAATAAGAGCGACTTGGAGGTGGAGGAGCTCTTTTAGACTTCATGACAGACAGGCTGCGCACAAAAGCTCCATCTTTCTTTGAGTCTTCTCCCTTGACAGTTGTTGTACCATTGGACACGGCTTTAGATGCATTTGTGTGACCACTGCCTTTGTTTTGTTTTTTGGGGCTGTGTTTCTCCTGAGCCTCTGACTGCCGCGGGGTGCTGCTGCTTGAAATAGTGGAGGAATCAGACACTAAGGTGTCGGAGTCTGAGTTACTCCAGCAGGAGCTGTCTGACAGTTGGAAGTGCCTCTGGCGGGACACAGAGGACATCGCGGAGGACCTGGATGAGGTGCTCCGCGTTGTGGATGCTCTGGATGAAGCACGGGACGAGGGAGGACTGGACATCATCAAACTGCTCTTGCTGACAGTGCGGACGCTGTTACGGCTGCTTCCACGACTTATCTCTACAACTTCTATAGAGGGCGGCAGCACTGCGTTGGGGATGATTTTGGACAGATACGCAGCCTGCGGGGACATGGACATCACAGGGCTGGGGGGTCCTGATTGACCGCTTGCAGTAGTCATTCCTGGGACAGCCAGAGACCAGGGCCTCTCCCCTGCAGCTGGCACACTACCCACACGCTGCAGCAGGGCCATGTCGTCCACATGAGCAGGGTGGAGGGTCTCTGTGTTTGTCTCTGGTGGTGAGTGCACAGCCAGCTGTGGTACACCAGATCCATTTAACATCTCCTCCTCCAACTGTGAACTCACGGCCCACTCAGCTCGGTCCAGTCCTGTTGAAGGAGAGACATCACTATGACGGTCACAATGGTCATTATATTGGTAATGTGCAAACACATACCGAATTCTCTTTGAAGGTGTTGAGGGATGCTTCCAATGGTGCGCCTGTGTCGTCTTCGTGTTCTACTGCTTTTTTCAGACTTCAGTGGTCTGAAGGTTGACCCTGAAAAACAAAGTCACCTTGGTCACATTGATGAACCACATACATGAATAAACAATCCTCATTTGGAAAATTTGACAGAATTTCCTCAAAACAGGGGGGATACACTTTCTTACAGGACCCAGGTATATCTTGCTTTTGAACGGTTTGATAAAAGGGTAAATTGCATGAGCCTTTCAAACATGTTTCAAACGGAATAATATATGTTTTTAAAAATAACTATTGTTTACTGTATATATCATTAATGAATTAAATAAATATCTAAAAATACATCTTCTAAACTAGCAGTGGCAGCGCTGTTACCTTGGCGTGTGAGCCCAGAGCGCGAGGACCGGGACGACACAGAGGACTGCACTGAGACCATGGAGGACGTGTCTGGGAGGGTGCTGTCGGTGGTGAAGCCCCCTCCGTCCACTTCTGCTCGGGCCGACACTGTGGACTGTACAAAAAAGTTCACATTCATGTTTCAGTCAAAATGAAGAGAGAGGCTTAGAGTTAAATTTACTCACTATTGTGCTTTCATTGTCTTGACACTCGGGTCCAAGATTTCGCTCTGGGTTGGAGAAACAAAAAACATGATAAAAGTGCATGTGACAGGACTTTTCTTGGTGGAACAGATCCATTGGTAAATATTTATAGGAGTTTTAAATAAGCCAAGTCTCAGTTTGTGACAAAAAACTGAATAAAATGTTGCAAAATATAGAAATATATTGAAATCATCTATTAGATTTTCGCTACAGAAAGTCTTCATGTTATCTTTGCACTTGTTTTTATACTAGATTTTATCCTCAATTCTTGCATCTTCATTTTACTTGAATTGTAGATTTTAAACTTACTTCCGAATTAGGCTAAAGCTAGAGATGTTATACTTTCGTCTGTATTATGCTAAACATTAGAGATTTATTTTTTATATTATTTCAGTATATTTATCTTGTATTGTGTGCTCCTCATTCATACTGTTCAGTCACTGGTGATGCAACACTACATTTCTACGCCGTGGGACGAATAAAAGATCTGTAATAAATAGGTGTGAGTAACTATTTGTCATTTATTGGGGTTAAGAAGTTAGGTTTGCCAGCTTTAATTTTTACAGTCATGACTTTTTCTGATGTGACAGAACAATTTATCGTAGTTTTACATGATTAGGTCTCGGTATGTGAAGACAATCTGAATTTAGATTTTTTTTTTCATTAATATAGAATAAGCAAAGTTAATCAGTCAGATGCTCTTTAAAGCTATCAATTTGTTTCCCTTACCTTCTTGTTGCATCAGTTTGAGGCCTTCCAACGCCTCAGTGTGAAGGTCCTCCAGGTACTTGGGTCTGCTGGCCTCAATGAACACATTCTCCTGGAGCAGAAGGGGGGCTGGGGTCTTCTTATCATCGTCGTCATCTCTCTTTGGGACAGCTTGAGGAGAAGAAAAGACGGATCAGTCTGGACCATGTCTGTTACAGAGTTTACAGCGACCATATGGACTCAGCAAAAGCAACACGGCGTTTGTCACTGAAAAGTCATGCTGATTACTGTGTACATAAGCACCACGGGAATGTACAGTAAGTAGATTGTAATGACACAGGCAAACGATGATAAAGTACTGCTAATAAGATTCAGATGAGGCCTAAACAGCAGCGGGGGTGGATCTGTACACTGTATCCCGATATGTACAGGTTAAGCACTGAAACATGTTGTTGTATTAGTCAAAACTTAATGTCTTTCTGTAATTAAACGGATGAAAATGAAACCGATATGATACAGACATATGCTTAGCCTTTGTTGTAAATCTATGGCTTACAGAACAAATATTGTGCTTTTAGAATATGTTAATTAATTATCTATATTTAAACAAATAAAGGCTCACTTTAATAGGGACCAACATCTACACAACCAGATGGAGGTTATTGTTTTACCAGAGATACTGTTTTAAGGCAGGTTTTTTTTCTTTTTGGGTACCTGGAAAACAGCATCATTTCTTTGAACAGGACAATTAAATCAGACTGACAAAACCTTTCAAAATACAGTTTGAATGAGTGAGTGTGAATGGGGGATGAGGGAGGGTGGGGTGGTACGCAAGTTATGTAAGTGTATATTGTATATTTATGTTAAACTGATTCTTTTTCTGACAGTTGAAAATAATAAATTAAAAAAAAAAAAAAAATAATAATAATTAAAGGCGTGTCATACATTTGTTTCACATTGCAAGTTGAATCAGTAATCTTTGTCAAACAGAATTTTGGAATATCACCGTTATTAAGTATGTATTTGATGTTGTGGTGAAATAAATTTGGCAATAAAAAAATATTGCCACATGTTGTAAGGGAGCGTGTCAAGACGATGGCCCAAAAGCAAAACACAGCCATCAGACTTCCAGGTAAATTGACAGTACCGGACCAGACAAATACTTTATGTCAGTAAGTAACTGTTTCTACTGTTGAAGCTAAATTTCCTTAGGCATCAAATAAAAAATCTAAACGTGAAAACAAAATAGACAATATTACAACAAAACAGACAATATCACATGTGCGTGCCTCTCAGGTAAACCTAAAAAGTTAAAAATAAATGGTTACTCAGCATAGAAAGGTTTATTATATGGGTTATAAGCAGACACCTAAAGGACGAGAAGCTTCTTAGTCAGTTTTATGTAATAGTGACAGACGCTGGATTTAGCCACAATGCCTCCTCCTGTCACTCAGTCAGTAAGACCAGGATGGAATTAGCCTTGACCTGATGGCACATGGCACCATTTTTCACTTACACAGTCAATCCCATGTGAAGCATAGTTCACTTTAACTGGACCAATTGCCAATCCACATAAAGTCTACGATCGGTTTCAAAAGATGAGAATTGGCTTACGTGATTACGGGACCAGAGTGATCCCGTTTGATTGTTTAAAATCTCCACACGTTAAAGCTGGAGTAACTCACTTATTGTTGCAAAAGTTCATGGTGTTGTAACAAGGGAAAGAGTCTTGTTTGAGTAACATTGCGTGAGTCTTTATCGCCATGTGATATTTTACTGAGATTTGATTGGCTGAGTCAGGAAGGTGCTCTCATTTTTCTCTCGGAAAATCAGACAGAGGCCAAAAATACACGCATGTGAAAACTAGGGATAGAACCAAACTGTTTTGAGAGCTTTCATAGATTCCTTTGTACAAAATATTTTCAGAATCAGAATCAGAATCAGAATCATTTTTATTGCCACGTGAGTAACAAAGTTGAGTAACAAGTCCACTTGGAAATTGTCTTGGCAGAGAGCGTGCCACTTCGCCATTTGCGGCGCTGTGTGCAAAAAAATATTTTATCATGATTTCAAAGTAAGGTACTCCAGCTTTAAGAATTTTGGACATGAAACTGCATTCTTCTTATACTCCAATTTAACATCCTGTATTTTTTTTATTTTTCTGCCGACAATAGAGTTTTTATGTGGTCAGCACTTTAGCAAACAGTGGTTATTTTTAAAGAATATTTTTAAACTTTATCAACACCAGGATACTATTAAGTGAGGTAAAATAAAGATCATAGAGGACTGACTATTTCATCTCTGTAGACGACTCCAACTGAGATAGAAGTTTATGGAGTGCAATGCAACACTTCAATTCCATTTATTTGTGTATAGCCTTAAATCACAACAGCACTGGTCATGGAGGACTTCACTAAGTTGTTGATTCGCCGACATCAGGATAGAGATTCTAACACAGGAAATACAATAATAACAAACGCCAATGGACCATAAGGAGCAGGTTGACCAATGTCCATAATTATTAAGAATGTCCATAAATGTCTCTGATCATCACTGTCCATGGAGCCTCCAACATCAGCAAGAAACTAAAAAAAAAACCCAGTGGGAATAAAGTGAGAAACCTTGGGTGGCCAACATTTATAGAGAAACCAGCTCCCACAGACAGACATGCTATAGATCCAGGACTCAGACTGTAGAACAAGGACTGAGGCTGTGCACACCTCAAAACAACACTTAAATATCTCCGTTGCCAGCAGAGAGGTGCGCCCGAGCTTGTTGCTGTCATACCTAAACATATTAATAATAGACACAGGAGCAATTAGTCTAGAGCCATAAACCCAGTTATGTTTTGTCTGACAACATCAAAACAGAACAGTGCCGCTTTCACTCACCTCTCTTCTTGAAAACAGTTGGAAAGCAGTAAATACTATTGTGGTCACACTGCGGACCGGACACAAGGAGAACCATAGCTCCTCAAGTCAGTGCAAAACAAAGCAGAAGAAAGTGCTGTCCTGATGTGATGTGGGCTGTTTGTGTATTGGCCTGTGACAAGTACTTGGACAATCAGAGCTCAGGCAGTAATCCTGGACCTAAATCCCCCCCTCCCTTTGCCGTTGGTCCTGTCAGTGATGAGAGGGAGGCCCCATAAAACACTGTTGCTCCCCATCCACCGGGAACCCTGGCCTCCTATTGGCCAGAAAGGTTGAAAGATCATAAGAGTAAACATGGAGAGGGGGAGAAATCTCAGAGGGGATTTGAGGGGCGCGCTTAAAGATTAAAATGAGAGTTATCCAAATCACAAACAACATGCATTTGTTTACCTCGATTGCGTTTGTTTTGATCAATGCAAGATTTCACTGATGATCGCTTTCGAATCCAAAGTGTTGTTTTTGTGACCGCGATTAGAAGACAAAAAACAAGGTACGAATACAATCATTTGAAATTGTGAAAATGTGCCTTGATTTGAGAATATTTTGAAGATTTATCGATGGAACATTTATCCTTTGTCCTGTTGTCAAGCAGAGGAATAATTTTCGTATTCAATATTTTTCATAATTTATTTTAAACTGTCAAAATTTGCACAACTAGTTCTGAATAAACCAATTTTGTGGGCAAACATAAAAACAACTTAATTTCAGCGTTTATTAAAATTTTTTTTGCAGATATATTTCATTCTTAGAACAAATGTAAATAGTTATAGTATAAGTTAAACTAGGAAAGAACATTTTCTGAAGTGGGGAATTGTGTATGAGGTAATCGCTTCATATAAATACACTTTTTCAAATGTAATTCTCATGAAGTTCTCTCTGGAAAAACGTTTACTTGTGATGTTTCTGTATACCTTGTATTCTCTTGTTTTTGTTTTGTTCAATGCATGTATCCTTCTTGCTTTTTACCTTGTGGCTGAAGTACAGTTTACACGGTCTCACCACTTTCACCACAAGGGGGAGTAAGTGACCTGAAGTTAAGAAGTCTCTAAAACAAGATTAAAAACATATTTAAAAGAAGCCTCCTCAGCACAAGGGCAAACAAGTATTGTTTTGTTACCAATAGTGATATGTAACTAAGTAATACAAAGTGAAGCAGCTTGCACTTAAACCGCCCTTGAGAGACAACATTTTAGCTCTAACCAAACAGCTGATTTTGAACGAAAAAACCTTTATCAAATGGAAAAAACGACATGTGAAAAGTGCCTGTTTCTCAGTGTGGACCTGAAATGGAATGCATGACACATGAGAACATGGAAAACACCGGTATACTTGTGTGATCAATGAGTCACACAAAAGAGTAAAAGAGGCTCCCATTTCCATATTGTCAGAGCCTGAAAATCAACCACTATTTCAAAGTTACCAGTACAACTCAAAGGGAGAAAGGTGATCCGCGTGCAGGTCGGTTGGTCCGGGAAAACGCTTATCCTGTTACCGTGTTAGTTCAGACTTGACTCTGGGGCGTGTCGCTTATAAACAGCTTGTATTATTAGAGCTCCTGACATCACACATGATTCTATACTAATCACCCACATCCTGACTGCACCATCTGTCTGCAGGATTATGGCTCAATTGTTTTTTTTCCCTTTTTAATCCAGAAATTGCAGCTGATAATATTAACAAAGCTTCCTCTTAAATGTGTATTAATGTTATCATTGGATTCGGTTTGGATGCTTACATGTGTGGGCTTCATATCTCATGAGATCATCTGAATGAGACTATATATACTAAAGCAGGCCTGGTCTACTTATTTACAGGTGAAATTCATACGATTAGAATATTGTTCAAAAGTTGATTTATTTCTGTAATTCAACTTAACATGTGAAGCAAATACATGATATACACATTGTACATGCTAAGCCTTTGTTATAATGTTGATGGTTATGGCTTATAGTTCATTTTCAAAATATTCTGTGAGCCATGAGTGTCAAAATTATAACAACTAAAGGGTTGATTTATCTTACTTTGAGCGTAATTGTGTATATTCTATATTTGTGTCCTTGGGCAAGACACTTAACCCCACATTGCCTGAAACACCAGGACTGTGGCACCACTGATGTAGCAGCCACCTGCAGGAGGATCAGAGGGACTGGTGCTTACTAATATACAGAATGAGTCTGTATATTAGTTTCACATTGTAAATTGAATTGGAGAAGTCAGTGGACTTTTAACGATAGTCTAATT